ATAGTATCCCCCTATAATAGTATCTCCCTTAAATAATATCGGGATATTACTCAACTGTATTTTTGAAAAATACCCCGGTACTAATCAAAATCCGATATTGAAAAGTATTCGATATTCAAAGAGCCTTTTCAAATGACTTTTCTCTTATTGTTTGTAACAATAAAATAATATTAAAAAAAAAGTCAAAATTAACGAATCATAGCATTGTTACACAATCTAAGCCACTCGTTAATTATATTAAAATAATTTATAAAAAAAAATTTTTTTTTTATTCATTTTTAAATCTTTTTTTTTTACTTTTAAGAAAATGGCAACATACAAAGGATTCAAATAAGAATTAAATGATGCAAAGGCGAGATTAGATGAGGCAACAAAGAATTTGAAGACATTTGAAGAAGGAGAAAATGATAGGAAGTGGTTGAACGAGTTGAGAGGAAAGGTGAGAAGAAAAGAGCAGCTTGATGAAGATGACAAGAGGCAGCTGGAGAGACTGGAAAAAGAAGAAGAGAGGTTGAAGAAAAACGTAAACGATTGGAAGAACCAAACGATTAATTTACAAAATAAATTAGCTGAATTTGGTAAAGGAGAAAGTAATAAACAAATTGCGTAAAAAATACACAAAAAATTATTTTTCGTTCATTCCATTTCATTTATTTGTTTATTTGTTTGAGAAAGCATTTGGTATACTATTTATTCATATATTTACATAACAATTTCTGAAATATATAGGTACTCAACTTAGCCCATTAAATATTCAGTTCAACCAGTTGATTCATACAGCTTTCATTTTGATCTTCCATTGGAATTATTTTGGAAAGTAAAATGTCATTAGTACTTACATCCAATTTTATGCAGAACTTGCAAACTCAACAAAATAATAACCATATTATAATTCCATCTACAACTGAATATCATTTAGAGATGCAGTTTCAAATACTAAAACTCTTAAAAAATCTGAAAGAAGAAGATTCAGAAGATGGACTTCATGAAAGGGATGGTGGAATATTAGGTATTGTTTCTTACCTTTCTTCATTCCAAGTTAACCATAATGTTATCACTAGAAGTACCTTAAAACGTAAACGTGTGAATGCACATGTTGGAAGTATACCAATAATTCTTATGGAAGAAAAAGCTAATATAAATGATCTAGACTTAGCCAAATATGAATTGATGAATAAATTTGCATGGTCACCTCATTATCGCAAATTGCCATTTGTTATTGCTATTGCAGTAGCAAATGATATTATCTCTTTCAACAAGCTTGATCACTTACAAAATCTCATAGATGAATTTAAGGTTAATCTTTCTTCTCAGGATAAGTGGGAGATTTTCCAGTATGTTTTCAGATTGATTTTTGACTTAGAAAAATTGTTTTACTTTATAATGAAGTATTAATTTTATTATCCTTCTATACTCTTAAACAAAGCTGTATACAGGCATGTATCAATATAAGTAGGTATTGTTTGTGAGCTGTTGATCAAATTGGATCACTTTCACCATTTCCCTTTGGTGTTTCTAATGTGCGAATAGCAGAAGAAGATTTTTGGGGTCGAGAAATAATTATCAATTACTCAGTAATTATCAAGATATATACTGAAATGAAAAAGGAAGATATGGAAAGGTTCTACTTGTTTGCATTTTACCTTGAATATTATATAAAATTATGTTGTTAGTTTTCAATACTAATGCTATGGAATTTCTATACATTAGGGTCAAATTATTCTATGATACTACAAAGGGAACACAATACTTAGAAAAAGCAGTGAAATATGTTGTTAAAGTTAAAGATGATGAATCTGAAGTGTTAACATTATATTTAACTCCAGTAAAAGTAAATAGGAAGCCAGATTCAATTGAAAAATTACATATTACAATGCACTGTATTGTTCATTGTATTTATAGTATTCATCAAAGAGGTTAGTGTATAGTAGACTTACATTGGTCAAATGTGGTAAAACATAATGATTGTTTCTATGTGATAGATGCAGGCGAATTTGCATAACACCATGGAAAGGCTATTTACAGCAACATGCTTCGTATTTTTGATCCAGTTACTGTTGATTCCTATAAACCTGCCACAGACATTTATATGTTGATTAAAATGATGGAGGATACAGAAAATATGTGGCATGGTAATCCTTATGGTCAGGATTTTTTCAAGGAACTAAAAAATTGCTACCAACAAAATAGTTTATCTTCAATACTTAATCACAGTTTCATTAAGCCTCAATGAAGCTATAGATATATGATATACCAATGTTTTTGCTTAATTTATATATTATTCATTAGACTATCATAATCATAAAAAATATTATGATTTTTCTTATTTTTATATGGTAATATATGAAAATATATGTATAAAGTTAATTATACTTATCACTCATATACCTTATTAGTTTTAGCAATAAAATTATAATACTTATTTGCTTTTGCTTTTATTCAAAGATAAATTATAATCAGTATTTTTGACTATTTTTATTTTTGAAATTTTTAATAAAATCTACAAAGTGAACATAAAAATATATATATATAAAGAATTATAAGTATATGAAAAGCAATAATCATAATGGTTCTAATGAATATCAAAAAGCAATTGATTTTTTAGAAAAAGGATGTAATTGCAATTATTTTTTCGAAATTTCTAAGGAACAATTTGCAGAATTAAGAGAATCTTTTCAAGTTCTCTTTAAATTAAAACAGAATATATTTTTAATGGTCTAACTTAAAATCATGGATGGTAAATCTATAAATATTAGCAGATGCTTTAAAAAGAAAACTAGATCTAATAAAAAAACTTTTTATCATTGAGATCACAATACACTTCTTTGTCAAAAAACTTATCTCAATATGTTAGAAATTGGTAGAACTTATTTTGAAAATATTAGAAATCACTTAATAAACAATAGTCTTTTACTAAGAATTTATGATAATATTAAAAGGATGCCTCAATAGACAACTAAATAGTAATTGATAAAAATGTTGCAAAAGTAGTAAAGAATTTTCTAGAAAATTATGCAGAAATCTATGGATTACCAAGTTTAAAAAAAAGTATCAATAGAATAACTTAATCAATTGCATTTTTACTAGCTGAAATATGTTATAAATCAGTCTACAAAGACTTTCTGGCTGGTCTAGAAGAAGATAATAATTTGAAATTCTTAAAATATAATGCATTCAGAAAATTATGATATCAATTGACATCAGAGATTCAAATTATGAGTCTAAGAACTGATTTGTGTGATACTTATCAACATTTTATAGATGGTTTATATTATAATACTCATTAAGAGAAAGAAGTTAAAGATTTGCTTAAAAGATTTAAAAAATATCTATTTAAGGTTAAATTAGAAAGAAATTATTAATAAAAATACTAATTTAGCTGAAGAACAAAAGAAACTAATTGATCAACATTATTCAAAAGGTAAAATACTATATCATAATATTAATATCACTGCTAATTATAGTTATAATTAAGCCTAAAATATTTATGTATCACATTCTGATCAACAGGTAAATAAAATTTATTATCTTAGTTTATGTAAAGTCTATTTATTTGGTATTCATGATGAAGCAATAAAAGAGCAAATTAATTATGTTCTTAATGAAGATGAAATTATAGGAAAAGAACCCAATAGAACACTTAGCATGATTTTTGATGGAATTAAAAAATTGAATAAAGGTGAAAAGCATTTAAAGATTACTTGTGATAATGCTGGTGAACAGAATAAAAATAATACCACTATTGGTTTTACTTATATTTAGTAATTTGTGATTATTATAAAAGTATTGAATTGAATTTCATAATTCCTAAACATATCAAATTCAAATGTAATGGTAATTTTGGTATGATTAAAAAACTCTATAGAAGAATCAGAGTAGATTGTCTGAATCATGTGATTGAGATGGTAAAAAAGTCTAGTCCAGCAGGATTGAATAAAGCTCAATATTATGAAAGTGAAAAAGGTTTTCAATATTTAGATATTAAGTCAATTTTAGGAATTTATTTTAAGAAATTACCAAGTATACAAAAATATCAACATTTTCTTTTTGAAGCAACTAATCTTGGTATGGTCAAAGCCCAGGAGATTGCTAATAGACTTTTTACTGAATTCAATTTATTGAAAATTAGGAAAGCAGATATATTTGAAGAAATTAGAGCTTTATCTATTTTAGTGTTAACACCACTTCCTTTGGATTATAAAAAACAAAAATATTTTTATCATAATATTCACCCATTTGTAAAAGATGAATACAAAGATGTTACTTGTTCAAAACTATTCTATACTAGCAACAAATAAAATATTTAGAACAAAAACACCTTCATTACTTTATCATGCTTGTTAATTTGTCTCTTACTGTCATTAATGAGTTTAATATTTTGACAAATATTGTTAGCTTTTTCCATCTTTAAAGTAAAAAAGTACTAAAATAATTTATATACTTAACATACCCTTATAAAAAGAATATAAGTATATTAAAAGAATAAATAAAAAAAAATAACTAAACAAGAAAATCATGACAAGTATAATAAATAAACTTAAACAGAAAAATAAACAACTATTAGAAGAAATCAGTGATATCAACAAAAAAAGAGAACAAGAAATTGAAAATCTAAAACTAAAAATTTGATACCTTACTGATAAAAGTAGTTATGTTCCTGATTATTGATGATATAAGAAACTAAACAAAAAGTGATTAGAGAAAGGTAAGTTAAGAATGGCTAAAGATCCTAATCATCCTAACTCATACATGAGAGAGTATGAAAAAGTTTAATTTGATAACATTACAATTGAAGAAATGTTAGAAAAGTTCATTGATAGTTCAAAAGATTTAGGTGAAACTTGCTTTAAGTATATTTCTCAGTGAAGTGAACGAGATTATGAAAATACTAAGCAAAGAAAAGAGTTTAAAAAGAAAATCGAGGGGTTAGAAACTAAGATTAAAGAATAAGAAAACAGAATAAAAGAATTAGAAGATGAAGTATGAATGAAATATGAAAAAGTTGAGAAAGTACTAAATACAGCTATAAAGTAGAAAAAGTGTCAAATGTTTAAAACAGTTTTGAAGCATGATGCTATAATGGGCAAACTTCTAGACCAAATAGACTTGTTGAAAAATAATTTAGTGACTAAGAATCAGAAAATAAACTAAAGGGTTTACTTAGAAAAGAAAGAATTACTAGTTTTACCAAAACAACAAAAAGAAAATAGGTTATATAAACTCAAAAAATTAGTAAGCAAAGTAAAAGAAAAGGCTAAGGAGAAGTTCTAAACTTTCATTATTCAGAAAAGTAAATAATTGTATGAAATTAGAATATAGAGTTTTGGAAATAACAAAGGATGATGAACAAAAATATAATTTTTGCTTTTTAGATTTTGACAATTCAACTAATTTTAGCCTTGATACTGCTCCTACTACTTATCAAATAGTGGGTCATAATACTCTTGATGGTTATGCTGATATAATTTTATTTATGGCAAATGTAAAAAAAATTATAATAATGTAATTGAGAAAATTTCCCTCTGTATAAATTGAAATTCATTTCAACTATCAAAGAAATTGGTAGTTATTTTCTTTTTAGAGATTTTTGTTTTTTATTAAATAATAATGCATCATCATTCTGCTTTCTTTTTCTAACATTTATTATTTTTCTTTCTTCTTGATAAATTTCATAGGTAATCTTTTCTTTTTTTAGATAAGCTTCTAGTGTCTGAGTATTATTTATTTTAAAAATGTAAGGAGCAATTTTTTCACCTTGCTCTTTTTTCAAAATACTTCTGATAATACTATAATTCTTGGGTTCTATAGTAGATCTGATGTAAATGAGTTTCATATTAACTATTTTTGTATAGGAATAGTTTTATATATCATTTAAGATAACAAATAGGATATTATAAACTATTAATTATAATTACATTATAAATGACCTTTGAAATCCTTAGTAATACCAATGTTCACTTTGTCTGATTTTGTTGCAGTTTGTCTTATATAATCATTTATTTAATATCAAAACAAATCATTAATCATTTATATATTTATCTGTAATGACTTTTAAATCCCAATCTTCATCTATATCATCTATAATATTGCTATTACTATTAATACTATAAATATCATTATTATTTACATTTTCTTTTATTATTTTATCTAAACCTAAAATAATTTCTTCCGCTTCTAAATTTACTAAATTTTCAATTTTAAGATTTTCTTTTTCCTTATAATTAAATTGCTTATTTTCGAAATCTTCTACTTCTTGTAAAAATTCATAATCATCATCTTCAAATATCTCAGCATCTTGAATTATTTTTTGTAATTCTGCTGTTGTTTTATCAACTCTATAATAATTAAATTCTTTTTTTATATTAGAAAGATAAAAAGCAACTAATTTTTGCATATTTTCAAGTTTGTGTAAAGAGAGATGAACTCGTCATTTTTCATAATACTATCTAAGCTTTGACTATATTCTTTTACATTCTACAGTATGAGAAATGATTGCAAAAAGTTTTAATGCAAGTTAACATATATAATTTTCATTTCTATTAAAACAATCTTCAATTGATGATCATCAAATTTGAGGATTTTCATTATCATAAAAAGATATATCAAAAGGAGTTTGTCTTTTGCGACAGGTACATATTTGAACTATTAATCCTTCTTATTTTTTAGGTGTTTTACTTATTTTTTCATAAATATCATCTGCAGCAAGTAGGATTTTGCGAAAAACTTCACGAACAAAACAATTTTTATAATTAAATATTAATAAATTATTAAAAAATAAAATTATATATTAAATAAATAAACTTTTATAACATACTTTTATACAGTCAACTCTTATTATAACGAACTCTATGTCCTAGACCTCAACTTTGCTATAAGGCTATAATGAAGATTTTAAGAAATTTGATTGGTCAATTCGCTATAACAAGAGTATTTTTATTATACAGTCAACTCTTTTTACAACGAATTTTGATATAATGAATTTTACAATACAACGGATTTTCATTGTCAGACAGATTTTTAAATATAAAAAACCCTTACTATACCAAATTTAGTAATTAAAAATTCGTACTACGTTTAACGAATTAAAGTCAGAAAAATTTAT